AAGTGCAATGACAATAGCCGCCACCCGCGCAACTCATAATAGTTGGGAAAGATGATTACAAGCACAAGCGAGGAATTGTCAAACGACATAACTCTAGAGACATGTGATAATTCTCCTATTACTTTTGTTGAAGTTTCCTAAATCGTCGGTTTCTCGGTGAAAAACTGATTTTATTTTTTAATTATTAACTATCTATTTATTTTTTGGTGAACATTAAATAATGCATACCACCTAACTCGTTGGGGACATCTAATAGCAAAAGAGTTCAAAAACTTATCTATGAAAGCCCAAAAAGACATGATTAATCTGTATGGTTTATGGTAGCTCATAATTTTTTACATCAATATAGAGTAATATTTTATACTTGTAATGGTCTATGTACAACGCACGTGTGCACCAACTAGTTGACTAAAATATCATCAATCTTATTTAGTTATTAATGTTTTTGGGTTAATTGCAGTGGAGGTCTTAAAAATATGGGGTTTGTCTTGTTTTGGTCCTCAATGTTTCAATTACATCATTTTGGTCCCTGAAGTATTAAATATCTATATAATAAAGTAACTAAATTTTTTTGTCTTTAACTTTTCGCTGCTTAGATCGTTTGACGATTATTAATCTGACGATTATCATGCCAAAATTTTCTAAAACTCTTTTTGCTCATCCAACTCTCTTTATATCTATCTTATACTTTCTCTCTCTCTCTCATATTATTATTTTATTTTTTCTGTTTTTGAAGTGTTATTTTTTTTTATTATTTACTCCATAAAACCTATGAAATTTCATGTGATGCAATTATTTATTCCATAAAATTAATTCAAAATTTTATATATCTAACAACATGTATTTTGTCACTTACTTCTTAATTTATAAATAACACTTAACGTAAATAAAATATAGCACATATTTTTCATGATTTGAGGAATTTTTTATCTGAATTTCACATCTTTACCTGAAATTAGGTCTTAGTTGATTCATGGCCTATATTCCTCTAAAAATCTCATTGATAATGGTTTTTATATAGATTATTTTTTTAGTTTTTTTTAATTTTTGCTCTATTTTTTATAATTTTGGTCCTAAATTTTTCAAATTTTTTCGAACTATCAATTTTTTAAAATTTTTTGTCAACTTTTAATTTACTTTCACTTATTTTCATGTGAACCAGAGATTTTTGAATTTAACAAGTGGAGGTGAGCGATTCTCTTAAAAAGAAAAAAGTGGGGGTGAACAATTAGTTTGGTTTAAATATGTATAGTCGAATCTTGACCAAAAGAAAATTTATCAAATGATATAGTAAGAGAGGAGACGCTATGCTATGAAAGAATCTGTATTTAAATTTTATGGGTTAAAATACAAATGTTTAAATTTACATACAACAAAAAAATTTATAATTTAAGGTCAATTTCATGTTGGTTTAATCCACACCAAATAATATTCAACACGAAATGAACCTTAAATTGTAAATTAATATATATACATATATTTTTTTTATCAAAAATTGACATTTAATTTTTTCCAATTTATATTCAACTTTGGCGAATTAATATCAAATTAATTTTTATTGTTATCATATTAATATTAAAATTCATTTAATCAATTTTTTTGGGATACTAAATTATATTAATTTTTTCGGTACAACTCAAATCTTATTTTATTTAATTAAATTTTTATTTTTTTTAGGTATTAAAGTTGGAGAAAGACAATTATAAAAATAATATTTTTTTAAGAAAAAATCATCACTTTCCATTAATAATGTTGACGGAAGGGAGACAGAGAGGGTCTATGTGCAATAAATTTTAAACTTAGGGATCTTTGTATTATTTATAAAATATCAGGGGTATCCGCATAATATTGTCAAAACTTAGGGGAAGTCCCTTTTTTTCCCTATTTTTTAATTAGATATTAATTTATTGTTATTTTATCTTAAAAACTTAAATTATTATATTTTTAAGAAAAACAACTATTGGTTAGGAAGGTTTGTTGATAGCCAAAAAAACATGTGTGAGAGTGTGTTTTTGTGTATCTTTATACGTGGAGGATTGAATATTTGGTAATTAAATTTATAATTTTATTATGTCATTTGGGGTTGAATGGTGATAATGGTGAGAAATTCTTGAGTTTTATAAATGAGTAAAATTTGGTTTATTTCATTTATCGCTTAAAGATTGTGAATTTAATTGTGTTATGTTAGTAATTTTTTTTTTCCTTGAGATGTTTATTACATGGGCGATATGGTGGATTGAAAAAATGGTAATTGAGTTTATAATTATATTTTGTTATTGGATTGAGTGGTGGTAAAGGTAAAAATTCATGAGTCATATAAATTAGCAAAATTTTAATTATTACTTAAAGATTGTAAATTTCAATGGATTATGTTATTATTTGTTTTTTTTTTTGGAGATATTTGTATATATGGTGTTGTTTTGAAGAGTTTTATATCCTTTTATTGTCGGAATTTTTCCTGTATTGGACTGCCATTAATTGATAGTTAATTTTAATTTGTGAAAAACAGGCTGAATTTATGGTACAATGAGATGAACCCAATATTATTAAGTGATCTATTTTGATGTGCTTATGTACATCTTTTAATTGATGTAGTTGAGGCAGTTAAATATAGGTGTTAATTTAATTGTAGCCCATAATGAGAGAGTCAATTAGATTTTATTATAAATAGCATGCTAGGTCCCCTCTCTACTTTATAACCCTAAATTGGCTTATCTCATTAAGAGTCGTCTATTGCTTGAAGAAAGAGACGAAAATCTTACCTTTTTCACGAAAGAAATCTGGAGATTGAATATCACGGCTCATACAAGTATGTTCTAAACCTATATGATCCAAATCTTGTAATTTAAGTATTCTAAATTTTATATATGAATTATTAAAAATTTTTACATGTGATATCAGAGCCTATTATATATGAATTTAGAATCAGATAAAATTCATGTATAATTAAACTGTTAATTTTCATTGGATTTAGTGTTCAATTTTTTAGCGTCACTGTCCATGGCTTTATTGATTAAAAGTTACAGTACATATATCTCTATGGTGTATATATGACATTTAAGGAAAAAAAAAA